TCTATTTCTAAACTGATAACTACATATTTTAGACGAGATCCGGCAGTAACATCAAAAACACTGTTTCCTAGACCATTATAATTGCACGCGGTACAAAAGCACCAGCTATCTCGTGTCATGTAGTTTCAAACTCTCAAAGCTTATATCGTCCCACAAATTTGACAAAGATGAATGGTTGGAAATTAAATAATGGCAATTAACATATGAGGGTGCACATAATGTTTCTATTTACAATTCGTTTGAATAAACCCGAAAATTTGATCTTCCCTTTTATTAGGTGTGAACAATCTACAATAGCATATAGGTATAAAGTTTGTTTTTTTTTTAATGGAAATTACCAAGTCAAAATTTTGGTGAAAAAATTGGTAGCAGCTTGTCTCCATAGCCACAAATTTTGTTTGATCTTTGTTTTTGTCCCTAGAAATTTTGTTAAAAAATTATGGTTGTGTTCAAATTGAGATGTTGTCAAAATTTTGAGTTTTATGAATCTTGTGTGCCTGTTTGCTCTATGAAAGCGCTATAAATGAATACCTGAGGATAGACATCATTATCTAAGGTCTAAAGACAGGATTTAGTGCTTATAATTTTGATAGAAACACACCGCAAGTAAGTATAATGTTGTGAACAAAAATGAGATTCTTGCTACAAAAACTTTGAAAAAAAAGGATTTTTATACGGAAAAAAGTTATTTAGCAAAAGATACAAGTGGGTATTATGATGATTGGTAATAAATTTTGTGTAATTTATTGAAATGAGTTCAAAGTTGATGCATTTTATAAATTCTTCTTCAGCTTTTGTTTCAAAATTGTTACTTTTTCAACTCGTTCCTCAAAAACGATGCACAAGACACTAATTTAATTGCGTTCTTTCCGAGGTTCTTTCACATTCATGTTTATTTGGTATTCTTGTCAATTTTTTGCTAAAAATTAAGAATGTTTAGCAAACCTGCATTACAAATTGCGTCTAACGGGCCCTTTTTCTACCTTCCTGCTTGCGAACTATTCGTTTCCAAATTTCGAAAAACTGTTAGCGGTACCAAATTTGTTCCTTTTTTTAGTGTTTCGTCTCTAAATTTTCTTAGACGATTTTTTGTGTTGACGTTTAATGACATTGTTTTCAAATTAATTCAAAAAACCGGAACTGCCAACTTCCTTTATTAAAATTACCGTGGATGAATTTACTAGTGATGCCGACGTTAAGACTGTTTTAAAAAAAAAACAGACTTTACATGTACATATTTCAATGATTAATAACTTTTTATTTTAAACAAATTCGACACAAAACTCAAATTTTTAGCAAAATCAAATCTCATTTATGAGCAAAAGCTTTCGCTGCACTATTAATAATTTTCTTCTTAGTTGTCTACCACTTAAAGGCGCTTGAATATTGCAGTAATACAATAACACGTTAACTTTAATTATACATAACGGACCCGTTACATAGTTTCAGCTTAAATTCTCGATTAAAAGTCTTAAAAGCAATTACGAAACACTTTCGAAGGCACTTAACTGATGTTAACTTTAAGAACAGGTATTTAAGCGACGCAGAAAGATACGACCCTTATCCCGCATCTGTTGTTCTATATCTTTTAGATCTCAAGTAATAATAAGCAGGACAACCAGGTGAGCTGTCAGCGGGCAAACACTTTAGGTGTACCAAATGTTACACTACTCGCTAGAATTAACAATTCCACGGAAAAGCATCAGATAAGTAAGAGTAGAAGAAGTCGAAGAGCAACTCAACATGGAAGTGGCATTCAATGCGGAATAAATAACTCGTATAATAATATTCCTTTATCGTAGGTCTTGTCGTATATTTGTTTACCATTTTTAACGGTCCGTTCGCATATACGTAGGTACTGTAAAGAGTTTTATCAATCGTTATCAATCTTACCCTACAGCTTAGGTAAGTAATATCCATACAATGTCACGCATACTCCACAATGCTATTGCTTATTAATGAGATTCCGGATTGAATGTACGAGATTGTGGACGAAAATGCGTTTGTAACAGGTAAGTAACGATAACTTGTCGAAAGCATATGGTCGTTGGTGCTATCGCTCCGGAATATCAAGCAATCTATTATAGCTCACGGTCTCCGAGGAGGATTCTTATAAAATTTTTCACTTTAATGATGTAATTATTTTCTTGATCGTCTAAAAATCTCCACCAATTATCGACAAGTTGATAACGAGGCCAAAACGGAAACGGACCGGAGCCGCAGACTCGTTTTATTACGCAACCGTGAGATAATAGCTAATGGCATAATTCAACAATCAGATTCAGATTATGCTACATGTTACTTCAAAGCAAACTCACATTTAAATAAATGTCGGTTTAATCTACCGAACACCGTTGGGACACCGACAGACGTGCTTGCTTGTTCTGCATGAGTTTTAAAATGCAATGCCACTTTACATAGACGCATTTTATGTACAATCATGTTAAAAAATATGACACACCCAGTTGTATTCAGTTTTATAGTACTAAAAATTTAAAATAACAGTTAATGTAAATTTTATAAACATATTAAACAAAAAAAAAACCAAGAGTAAATACTATAATACCTAATTCTTATAATTTAGAATGTTTTCCCTTATTTAATTATAGATTTATAAAGGTTATCGGAATTTTAATAAGAGTCAACTAACAGTGATGATACAATTTACATTTTTGTTATTTTCCCTTACATTTACTTTACTTAAAAATGTAGTTAAATAAATATAGTTAAAATATCTACGGAGTTGTTCATGTTTCAAAAATGTAGGCATACAGAAAATTACCAAATTGTTTTTTTACAAGCGCAATGATAAATACATTTATTTATAAAAGGCAAATTACTGGAAACATATTTTTTTTAATTAACATTTGCCTAGAAAATTTTTATAATCTGATAAAAACATACTTTCTAAAATTTAAATAAAAAAATATACTCGTAGTTATAAATAAATTGATCGTGTAGTGGCATGTGTTAAAATTTCTATTACAAAGAAAATAACAAAATGCTGAGATATAGTAGGTGCTAATCGATCAATTTCTGACAGTGGTCCACCTACTGCATTGTTCATTTGAAATATTACAGATTTTATAACACTAACGCTACACTTGGAATAATAATGTTGACAAAAGCAGTAAACAGATATTGCAAAATTGGACCCTGTACCTAACTGACCTTTACAACATTTTTGCTTCAGAAGTAAAACTTTCAATGCATCACACATCAGTTCCGTTATCTCCGATTGCTACATTAAAATATTGCACATGAGGAGTCGCTGATTCTTCTGAAAAGTTTTCATCATTTTTCCATGCAACAAAGGACAATAGTGCAATAGAATCCTTAAATAGAAATATCCATTCCGTCATATACTTCACACAATTTGCATAACGAGTATAATAAACAGTTTTTCTATCCCACAAATGCAATTAATCTTGATATCACAGCGATAAGATGGAATTACACTTTTTAATTAATTAAAATAATCATTTATATTCCTTCATTTAGCTTGCTTGTAAATTAGTTTTATAACTCAATGCTTACGGTCGTTTAAATTTAATTATCACGGTCGTTCAACGTGGAGGTATAAATATGAGTTGAGGTCGCATTTTTCAACTCGTCACATTAGTGTGACAAATAGGGGGTTGTTCTGTCACTTTACCATATCATAGCCAAAAACAATTTATCATTTTATTAATTTTACAAATGCATATTTATAATACATGTTCAAAAATATATCAATACAATGTGTGTTTTTTTTTTAATCTAGGCAGAGTTAATAACGTTCAAGAAAAAATTAAGGTGTAATTAATTAATTATAATTAGAACACAGTAAATTACCTGTTGGTGGTAGAAACTAAATACAAGTAACCACGACACCTTACGCAATATCTATCAATAAACAACAGCCATATCTACTTTGTAAAAGAACTTGACATAAAAATATGCAAAAATCTAACATTTGGTATTTCGATGTACATTGAGATAACCGACTCATTTAAAGAATTTTTTGGTAACATTACCCACATGTTGACAACCCGAATACCAATCATCACATTTGTGTTTCTGCCATGTAATACAAGCACTAGAAAAATTTTATCGCACACAATCATAGAAAATTGTTTAAACGTATCCTAAATGCCACAAATACGATGCCATTTTTAGGTAGATGTTGACTGATTTAGATAACTTTTCACGGCTGTTAGGCATACTTAACGAAATTGGAAAAACTTATGACATCCTACAAATTTTTTTAACCTCAGTAATAATCTATGTAATATGAATAAATCATAAGTTTTTACTGAATTACTTCTATAACTTTGCAAAAATTCAAAAATTGCGGTTACTCATAGAGAAAAATTAAGAAAATTGAAGTGTGAATACGTTTGAAACACTCCGTATATGGGCTAATTGCTGGTGTAATATCACGATTCAATGAAACGTAAACATTTTATCTTTATCATTAATTTAACGGAATGCAGCTGTTTAACCTTTTCTATCGGTTAAAGGTAGAAAAATGAGAATTCTTATTGTTGATAAAAAAACTACAGAGACTAAAAGAGTTGGGTGCTGGTAATAATAATCTAAAAAGAATTTGCTGAAATCCGCTATCGGAAGAAAATTTTCCTGAATGCAAAAATGCAGCGAGAGATAACGATGGTAAGAGAATGCGGGTTTGCGCATGCACTCTGAACAGTTTTTTGAATAAATTAGAATTTATTATATTCGATACGGTTTTATCATGGCACCTTCTGTTAAATTATACATGCAATTACCGGACTTATTAGGGTCTGATTATATTCATGCCCGACCTTGGTACGATAAAAAGATCTCACTCATATTCATTTGCATTTATAAATATTCCGCGATAGATGTTATCTGTTGTTTGATTAGCGGATTGTTTTGCTTTTTCATTTACTTTTTATCGGTTTAATTTATCACCGCGGCCAGCGTAGGAGTCCCAGAATTAACACAGAAAAAGAAAACAACTCGATTTTTACGCTTACCTTTTCGCAATTCAGTCTCGCTGCGGAAATCCAGAGGCAGCTTCTCATGTGGATCACCTGCAAGAATTATAGATGTTAATTAATTTATACTTAAGCAGGTGATGCGATTTACTTTGCTAATAGACACTTATTTGTATCTATTTTACGGGTCTAGGCGATCGGAAAATTACCATTTCTTAAAGTTCAAACTTAATATTATTTATACACAAGCAAGTCGTGAATATTATTATAATCCATCAGAAATAAAATTAGGCTTATACTCCCTGATTAATACCGATAAATGTTAATTGTCAATTTAAAGCTTGTCATTTAACATTAATGTCATTTTTATAGTTAATTAAATTAAATTAAGGTTAAATTTAAGCTAATATTTATCCAGTTCAATTCCCCTAAAAATTCACCTCTAATTTAGAACCAGCATTTAGGAGTATATCGCCATTTGGAAAAAAAATGTATATGAGTATAAGTAAAATTGTTTGAGTCTTGAGAATTCTCCTTATCTCTTTTTTAAAAGTTCAGCTTCTTAGATAAGAGTAAAAATGAACGTGCAATCAGCAAAAGAGTAGAATACTTTTAAAAATAAAAAGTTCTATGCAATAACTATTTACATACATATCTTGTCCGTACAGTTTGTCATTGTGTTTTTTTAAAACTAAACTAAGTTATTTATAATCTTTCACCCAGCAGTAGTTCACGTGTATAGTTCCGCTTGTGACTTACAAAATCTCCATAAATCAAAATGTTTCTAAGAAGAAATTAAAGCTTAGTTTGATAAAAACTTAAAGATAAGTGAGCTTTATCATTAGTCATAACAATTCTTGCTCTATCTTGTAAAACGTGTATCGTGTTGTTAATTTTAGTTGGTACAATGTTCCATTGTATTTCGAATAAATTAACCCGTTACTAATTCAAGAATTGAAGATAAGTTAAAACCTCAAGTGGGAGAAAGAACAAAACTCCTACCACTAACCGTTATCGATAATCAATTCAATCTGTATCAGATAACGACTCTATTTAATAGTTTTATTTTGCATATAAATTACCTTGTAAATGACTATTATCAAAGCAAAGTGATGTAAGGTGTGATGTAAACTTTGTGAGAAGTGGCACAGATTGATATGTAAACCTTCGTATCACAAAGTTCACACACAAATAGTCAGTCAGTGATGACGTTTAAAGTATAAAAATTAAAGAATGCCACACTCTACTATTGGTTGAATTAGAAGAGTATTATATACAGTATGTCCCCGGATTGGGTTTTCAAGAGATTTTATGCCAAAACTGCAAAAGAAAAATATTTTGCTTCATCTAAAAAAAAAGTTTATTTTTCTCTTGATTTTAGACTTTATATGATCGAAAAAGACTATGTAGTAATGTCCAAAAATTTCATAGTAACCCTGGTGCCATAAAAAAAATCCAAAAAATGCATCTTTAAAAAATGATCACACCAGTAATTTTTTTGAAAGCAAAAAAAACTTTTGCAAACTTTTTAACTTTTATTCGCGTTATAATTTATGAACCAAGTTGTTCCATAAATAACTACACATTTTTAATCGTAATTTGAATTTTGTATCTATCAATATGACCAAGTGATGATAATTGCAAATTTTCCAACGATTCTGTTCAACAGCAAGGTCTGCAAAAAATACCATTTCCGGCTTACAAACCTAGAAATATATTTGGACCCTCTAACATTTATTATTACCTCATTGAAAATTCCTTCAAGATCCATTCACTCCTTGACCCAATTATTGCGGTATGTAATTTTTCTATCTGTGACCATGCAACGCAATTGTTTATTACCTTTCTGGATATTCTGAGTTCTGAGATAACAATCAGATAAATGTGAGAATAGAAATATTCACATCCACCGCATTAAATTATGACAACTCAAGTGTAGAGCATGCAGAGTGATACAACACCGATTTTACGGCCTAGCTACGTTTTTATTGTAAAATTAATTCAAGATTATGTCTGGGGGGGCGACGAAGCGCTCGTCATGATGTGATGTGACTGTAGCGGTGTAGAACAGAGCGATGAGACGATAACGACACTTAAAAGGTATCGGAACAAGACTATGATGTGGCACATAGCACAGCGGGCGCAGCGTCGACAGAAATTCAATTTCGAATCTATCCGAACAAAAAGACTACCGCTGCGATTCAATCACGATCGCCTCTTACCAATTACCTATCGATGTAATATTGTCGGAACTCGGCTTGATTATGGTAACCGAACCCAGCATCTGGAGTCTGGACTGTCTTTAGACAACCAATCTTCATTTTTGCTAACTTCCTAATTAAAACAACAACTTGTCCTCTAATTTACCGAAATTAGTGTAAAAATCATTTACTTTTGTAATTCTGATAAATAGATAAACCTCCAGACGACTACTAATAAGCAGATGTCATTTTAGTAGAATAAATTACTAGAACAGTTATATGTCCATTTGCGTCCTCAAGTAAATTATATAATTAAGGTAATCGCATAAAAGCGTGAATTGAACGCCGAAGATCAAAGATAAGATTCACTAATCTGTCCGGTAGATCAGGTGCATTTAATCGCACAAAAAATACCTACAAAAACGAAGAAAATAACGATTGAGAGTTCTTCCCAGTGGAGCAAAATTTAATGACCTGTGAGGAAACATTTACTTTAGGGTAAACTTGGTATAGATGCCCCCTTGGGATATAAGGCCACTTGTTTAAAAATTGCGCGTTTGCAGTAGCTTTTCTGCAGTTTGGCCATCCAATTTTTGGTGTTTTATATTTTAGGCAAAACCTAAACAGTTTTCTTACTTCTGTCATTCGTGTATCTGGCATTAAAGGTAAGTACTTTTTAAACCGGTACTTGAACGCTGGGATTGTAGAAATGAAATTTTGGTTTTAAGTAGTTCAAACACATAATTTTAGCATATCGGTTGTTTTGTTTCAAAACTAATGTTTTTTTACTCCTTTTTCCGAGGTTATATTTGTGCTTTTTCAATGTTTGACATAGTTATTTAGAAGGGCATCTATCCCCAACAGTGAGGATATATGCCCCCTCAAATTATGGGATATACGCCGTTACAAAACATGCAGTCTTTTTCTCTTCTAGAGCGACAAAATGCCACGAAAATACGTTCGGAAGCCAAATTGTAAGCCCCGAGCTCTTTGGACAGAAGAAGATTTAGGCCAAGCTATCTTAAGTTGTAAAAATAAGGAATTAAAAATAAAAGAAGCATCCAGGATGTACAATATTCCTCCCAGAACGTTGCGACGTCGATTACTGTCAGGAAATATAAAGAAGGGTCCTTTAGATGTAATGAATGCGGAAGAAAATTTAAGCGAATGGAAACGTGCAAAAAAAGAATTTAGTTATTTTTGTTACTTTTGTGTATTGTTGTCACTTGTATACCTACTAAAAATGTTAAAATCAAATTTCTAAGTTTAAAATATTTTTTTATAATTTTTTACTTCAAAATTTAAAATAAATACTTTTGTTTAAGTAAATATGCCTACTATCCCACAAAGTTTCGTTAATCCCATACATCAAAGGCAATTAATGCCGGATACTTGGCCATTTTAAAGATTGCCCAAAAATGACTTTTATAGCTTTAAAAAAGGTTTAAAAAATCAGTATAAAATGACATCTAAATTAAGAGCAATATAAAAAAGTTATTCAGTAAAATAAGTTAAATTGTCTGTTGAAAAAAAATTAGTTTTGGGGGGCATATATCCCGAGTTTACCCTATAACAAATTCGAATATAGTACCAACTAAATGCATCACCAAGAGTAATAAGTTAAGACTAAGCCAACAACACAGCAAATAATAAGTGCAAAACTTGCGAAGAGTGTAAAATAACAGGTGAAAAAGTTTCGAGTTTCGTGGGTGGCATCCTGTTTAGTGAGAAGAAATACGAGTTAATTCCTCAAGTGTTCGCTTCGCATGCCGATCTCTTTATTAGCACAATTATCATTTGATCGTAATTAACGCCACGGATGAGTTTCGATGTCTAGCCACGAGTGGAATTAATCAAGGAGTAACTTGACTGGCAGAGTGGTGTACTTTATCGCGTTGTGCTCGGATTGGTTGATGTGCTGATCTATTTCGCAGATTTATTAAAATAAATTGAAAGCAGCGGCTCGGTTATATTCTATGGAGATAAGTAGAACTGATCGTGGCCACCGTCTCATTTCCTGGCGAGGGCCGATGCAGCAACCTCGCGTCGGTCCTCCGGCTTTCCAGGACTTATCTGTTCCTGCACCACCCGACATTACTCACAGACATATTCGTCGTAAATCATGCTTCCGTATGTGTAGGTGTTTATGTTGCCTGACTCAGGATGATAATGTCAACGGAGGACTCTTCCAGGGACACAACAAAAACGACAGATTCGGAACAAAAAATACCAAATGCCAAAGCCTGTAGTCTTTTTTTAACTAACATATCACACAACTTTAACTTGGTAATTTCAAACACTACTTCATTTCAAGTATAACTATTCAAAGCTTTGAGGGTCCTAATATACAGACGACACCCCTTTTACTACACGTTTTAATACATTCGTTGAAGAATAAGCATCCCACTAGATAAATGTACTGCACTGCAAATTGTCTCCCTGTTCCGTACAAGAATCTCCTGCATGATCCTTCCCCTCGAATTCCTGCCGGCGAAATCCCCATCGCGATGTCTTCATCGCCTCTTATTTTGTACGAGATAGCATTTTTACTGAACTGAAAGAGTATTTGTGTGAGGATATACGAAATAGGTGATATTAATGTAGCGAACAGGATAACTCCATGCATGCGACGGTTGTGATAAGTAGTCACGATGCTTTGTTTTCCATTTCGAGTCCGGATTCGTTTCCTGATCAAGCGTTGTACTGTGGCTGAAGACACGCCGTCGGCCAGGAAATGAATTTTAGCGCGGCCGTGCGCGGAATGCATTATAACTTTACTGTCTTTCTGTCGGTAGTCCTCTGTCTATACCCCCAAATAAATCTTCACAAAAATCATCCCTTCATTATCGATTATTTTCAAGCTATAACTGTTTTGTTCTGAAGCTTTAAGAGCAA